GTCTATAGAGGTAAAGAAGAATAAAACTACTTTTTAAAAAAAAATAAATTATTCTAAGAGTGGAATAGTGAACAGCTTACAGGAAGAGCTTAATTTCTAGAAAGATGTTAAATGAGAATATCTCAAGATTGTGACCGCAGGAAAGTGTGACCTGGAAGGAGAATGCTGCTGCTTTCATAACTATTTCTAATGCACTGAGTGGCAGTTGGGACGACACTGACTTTTTGGCTTTAATTCATCAGTTATTTCAAGTTCCGTTGGAGAAGGAAGGACAACTCGGAGGACCAATCCTTGCACAGGAGGAGATTAAGACCATATTTGGGAGCATTCCGGATATCCTTGATGTGCATACTAAAATCAAGGCAAGGAGCAACTTCTCCCCTGCAGGGGAAGCTTTGATGCAGACTTGGAGTGTTTTCTGTGTGCTTCAGGTTGTATCTGCCTGAGAGGTGTAGATTCATCCTGGTGCTGTTACATACTATTCAGCCTGTGGGATTATGTGCAAGTCTAAAGTATGCTTTAAAATTTAATGCTTATTTATAAATACCCGGAATCTGAATATTGTGCATGTAACTAAAGTTGCCGTTCATGACCTGGCTTCTCCTTTTGCCATTTTACGTACCTCTTCCTGTAGGAGATTTTTCTACAACTGATACAAAACTGGTTAAAAGGGTGAACAGTATCAAGGGGTAGTCTGTCACAAGTGCTTGTAACATATGTGTTCAATATTAGAGCAGTAAGCAAGGACTCTTGGAAGCATGGCTGAAGTCGTGGAATTAAAAAAGCAAAACCCACAAAACCAAATCAATTTTTAATTGGTGTTTCCCTGAGCTTTAGATATGCTCATATAAGGAGGCTTCTGTCATTTGGTAGGAAAAACTAATTCCTCCTTAAATGGCTTTGAACCAATTGTCAGAAACTGCCAGCTCATAAAACTGACTTGTACTTCAACCCCTGAGGCAGCTGATGTGATATTGAGGCCTGTTTGAATTATGCTGATTAGAATTCCCTGTGAGATTCTTTCCTTGAGGCTTGCTTTATTTTACGTTTGGATCTGGATTGCAAGTGCTCTTTGAAGCCCTCTGTGGGTCTCGCAGTAGCCTATGATGCCAGTTTTCCTCAAATACCAACTCATAAAACCTTCAAGTAATGGTGTATGTATGTTTCTGTCTGCTTTTCACAGTAGGCTTTTAAAATAGAGGGACTCGCAGACTGCCTGTAACCCTGTGGTTTGGTTTCTTTTGTTGGCTGCTTTTGTTTGTTGTTTTTCCCCAGCCAGTGGGATCAAGGCTAGTTAATCACAACAGGTATCGATGTGTGCCCACTGAGACTGAGGTGGAAGTAGAGCATGAGTATCCCTGTGTTGAGTGGGAGTCACCTGCAGCATGCAGTGCATATAAAGTTGGTTAGATGTAGTGGTTGTATTTTCCTTCATGTTTGGTGTAATAAAGGTAAGATAAGTGGCTACAACAAACCTCAGTGTTCATGGTGAATCCTGCTCAATTCAAGTGAATCCTGAACCTTCAGCTGTGACCTCCTGTCCCTGTTATTGGCTGACAGTGAATAAGCTTGATCCTTATCAAGGTGATAATGGGCTTAACAGCTTGGTCTCACTTTCCTTGGCACCCTAGCGCAGCAAGTGAAGGAAATCTGCCCCAGTTCTATTTCAGTCCTATCTTATGGACTTAGGAGTCTTGCGTTAGTTGTGTGCCCTTAGAGTTGGTTCGACTGTCTTCTATGTGTGCTATCATCACTTGGGTGTGTTCTGTCTGCAGTGTTGGACACAGCAGTGTCACCTTGTGGTAGAGCTGGCTGGTGCTGATGCACTGCTTGCCTCTGCATCGATTCAAAACTGTATATTCACTAAGCCAGAGGTCTCTTGCTTTCAGCTTTTAGATTGGAAGGGCTTTAATGTGAAATTGCACGGTTTTTAGGATTGCCTGTTTTGTTAGCATGGAAACAAACAACTAATTGCTTGGCAGAACACTGCCCCCATCTTGCGGCTTTATGCAGTTCATGTTCATCTAATTTTCTTCCCACCCATCCCTGCATGTGTTCTAGGAAGACCTGGAAGATCTTATGATGAACTGGACTGAAAGCAAAAGTATTGGTGATATCATTCTTAAATATGTAAGTTTCAGTTTCTTCTTTTATGCATTAGAGACATTATGAGCTATTATCTTGCCTTACAAGCAATTAATTTGTAGGAGCAAATTTAACTGTGTAGCAAACACAACTAAAACACTACCGACTTGTATCACTGTATTTTCTGTTTAGACTTTTCAGTTGAGTTAGATGGCCTATTTTGGATAGGTAATCCATGTCAAATTTCAGTATATATGTCTGCCCACTTGTATGAGGGGGTAGATCTCCAAACGGATATGGTTTGAGAACTGTAATTTGCAATGCTACATACATGCTTTTTACTCAGATGTTAAAAGGGGGTCTTTCTGTTACCCCTCTGATCAATAGAAAAAACTAGGAAGCATGGAAACATGTTTCATGGAAACATCTTGTGTTTGTTCCTTCAAGACTTGAAAGTGTGAGTAAGGACTCATAGTTTTTCCAAGTACAGAATGTGTAGAACAGGAAAGATAAGTCTGGGACTTATGCAAAGCCTAATGCAGTGCATTTGAACATAAGTAGTCTGATGGGTATCTCGTGCTTTTGCTGATCTGATTCTTTTGAAGCAAATAACGTTTGGCATTCAGAAGTTTTCAGTCTAAGGTATTGCTTCTGGTGGTTTAGTGACTTTTAAAGACGATTGCAGTAACTGAAGAAAATGCCTGAAATTTCCAAAGTTCTTGCCAAAAGCATCTTGCCAGGTGACAATCTGCCTTCTACTTGAGCTGCTGAGCAGCTTCTAAGATTGTCACGTGTGTACTTGATGTTTCTGAGAGCAGTTTGCATTTAATCAGCAGGACTGAATCTTGGGCATCTGGCATACAAAGCACCCCCAACTCTTAACTCATTCTATGAACATACATGGGTTTACAACACGTTTTTCATTATTCTTCATTGAAATGTGCCTTTGAGTAGCTTTGTACGGCTTGGGGCATATGAACATATGTACGAAGCAGAGCTGTAACAGTTGTTTCTTTCAGTCAAAAGACTTGTTGAAGACATACCCTCCGTTTGTGAATTTCTTTGAAATGAGCAAGGAGACTATTACGAGATGTGAAAAACAGAAGCCAAGGTTTCATGCCTTCCTGAAGGTAAGTGTCTGCAGAACTAAGTCTTTGAGCAATACTTGGAGGCTATTACCAAGTAAACTACTTAATGCAGTAGATTGAAGAATGTGAAATTTTGGAAGCTTGGAGGAATGGGAGTATCTCTTGATGACACAGAAATAAGAAGGATTTGAACTTCAATCCCTCAGGCTCCTTGTAAGACTCTCATAAGAGGTCCAAGTTGTTCCTCTGTTATACAGCTTTCAAGGTAGTTTGATTATAAATGTTTGTCGCTGGAAAAGGTGTGTTCCCTTCATCCAAATGTGCCTTCTCTTTTCTGTAAAGATGACTAGAGCTGCTTCTTTTTACTGGTCCTCTGCCTTGTGTTTTAAAGACTTGTATTTCTGACATAGCTTTTAGCTCTTGGCAGCTGTGAGGTTTCAGGGAGGTAGAATCTCTTAATGTTCTTGTGACTAATGAATAGGAGCATAACAGTGGAGATCCAACAGGAGGATGATCTTCAAAGAGTTCTCTGAAGATGAGTCTTAAGACTTTCGAGCTGTTCTGCTAAAGGCATATAGTTGATTAATAGTGCAGTGTAGCTTTAACTCCTATATCCAAGGAACGTTTCTCATGTAGTGGAGTAATCACACAGACGTATTTCAGCTCATGTTTTCTGAGGTAGTAGGAATTATATCCAAGTATTAACGTTCAAATGGTAGGAAAAAGAATAGAGAATGTGTTGGCCCCTGTCCCACTCTGCATTAGAGCATCTGAAACAATGACTGAGAGGTTGATAATATGGAAAACTTAAAACTAGACATTCTGAGAACATAAATCATGTGATATAAATACTGCACAGGTTTGAATATAATGTGTTTTAGCATGATCTGTTAATGACTGAATATCTGCGGTGAACAATTCTTAAACTGCAAAGTTGGTTTCAACGAAGTCAATTTTTTCCCCTAACGGGATATTTTTGTGTTTTAAAAAAAAAAAAAAATCCAACAAAAACGTCCTCCACAAAACCCAGAATCAAACCAAAACCCAACAAGTATGAAAAGCTGAGAATTATTTTCTTTCTCTTCTTTCTTTTCCTTAGATAAACCAAGCTAAACCTGAATGTGGCCGCCAAAGCCTAGCTGAGCTGCTTATCCGCCCTGTTCAAAGGCTGCCTAGTGTTGCTCTGTTACTGAATGGTAATCTAGATGTGTTTTTCTAATTAGTTTATCTGTAAAGGTGTTAAAACCAAGATAATGTCTGCTTTCTGTCATAATTAGCAACAGCTTTTCTCATATGAAACAAGCCTGATTCTAGGAGTTACCCATGCTTAGTGACAGTCAGCAAGACCAATTACTGAAGAAAGCAGACTTTTGGCTAAATTTCACTTGTTCATATATTTGCCTGCAGGATACAAGTAGAGGAAAAATTTGCCCTGACAACAGTTTTGTCTCTTCATATACAAATATATTTGATATTCAAATGCAGCTACCATAAACTAGAGAGCAATTCATATTGACAAGACTTATAGCTTCGTGTGTTCCCCTTGGTACTAACCACTTGCAGTAATAATCATGATGTTAATAAAAAAACCCCACACCACCATCCTTTGCTTCAGTTAGAAGGTGACTTCTGTTAACAGAAGTAGCATGTGGTCTTGTTGGTTTTTAAATAGTTGGAGGGTTTAGATTTGTATTGTAGGTATTTTTTTTTTTTCTTAATGACACACCCAGACTATTGCTGCTCACCTACTTCCCCTCTTAATTAAGACTCTTTGGATTCCAGGGTAGCTGTGATTTCTTCAGTCATCTGAGAATCATAGAGTCATTTAGACTGGAAAAGACCTTTTAAGATCGAGTGTGGCCATTAACCTCGTGTCCTGGTTTGAGCTGGGTGCCAGATCTACTGCTAACCTATGTCCCTAAGTGTTACATCTACACATATTTTAAATAACTCCAGGGATGGTGACTTGACCATTTGCCTGGGCAGCCTGTTCCAATGCTTGACAACCCTTGCAATGAAATTTTTTTTCCTAATATCCCATCTAAAATCTTAACTTACACTTTAAATATGAATTTTTCCTGTTTCTTTTCAGGCATTTGTAGTATGTATGGCTTTTTAATTTTTTTTTTTTTTAATGGTAGATATTAAGAAGCATACAGCAGAAGAGAACCCGGACGATTTGTATTGTAGGTATTTTTTTTTTTTCTTAATGACACACCCAGACTATTGCTGCTCACCTACTTCCCCTCTTAATTAAGACTCTTTGGATTCCAGGGTAGCTGTGATTTCTTCAGTCATCTGAGAATCATAGAGTCATTTAGACTGGAAAAGACCTTTTAAGATCGAGTGTGGCCATTAACCTCGTGTCCTGGTTTGAGCTGGGTGCCAGATCTACTGCTAACCTATGTCCCTAAGTGTTACATCTACACATATTTTAAATAACTCCAGGGATGGTGACTTGACCATTTGCCTGGGCAGCCTGTTCCAATGCTTGACAACCCTTGCAATGAAATTTTTTTTCCTAATATCCCATCTAAAATCTTAACTTACACTTTAAATATGAATTTTTCCTGTTTCTTTTCAGGCATTTGTAGTATGTATGGCTTTTTAATTTTTTTTTTTTTTAATGGTAGATATTAAGAAGCATACAGCAGAAGAGAACCCGGACAAAGTAACTCTAGAGAGAGCTATTGAATCATTAAAGGAAGTGATGACGTAAGTGATTATTTTATGAAACGTGCTCTCATACATCTAGATAATTTTGTTCCTTCTAAATTGCTCTTAGTGTGGTGTTGCCATAACTGCAGTCTCCAGGTAAGGATACATAATTGTGCACGTTATTCAGTCTATTTTTGCCCGCTGTTGCCGCTTTGTGCCACATTGTGCCAGAGCTGTTGGAGTCTGTGTGAGGCTGAACCTCCGGAGTCCTCTGGTCTGTCCTAAATCTTCATTTCTATTGGTTCCCTTCAGAGTGGAAGAAATGTGTGGGGTTTTTTGTCTTAATCTTACTTTTTTGTGTATATCCACTAAAAGGACATACTACTGGTGGAAGATTAGTCTTTCTTCTAGTCCTGTGTTAGTTGTTCTTGGGCCCTTCCATGAGTTTGCTTAAAGCTGAAGTGACTCCAATTGCAAGTGTAATGTATGTCTCCAGTAATGAGACCCCCTGTATTAATTGGGTAAATGTTTGTCTTATTTTAACAACTTTTAAATTGCGGTTATTCTTGTGTCTGCTTCTTGGTGAGCTGCAGTCCTGCCGTGAGGGTATAAAACAGGCTGTACAGAACTGCATTGGGCTGGTCTCTAGTGCAAAATCTAACTGGGCAGGGGAGTTAAAAATTAACTGATTGGTGTGTCACTACTGATAATGTGACAAGAATATTGTTCCAGGTGTGAAGTTTTGTATGCACGTAGCTTCTGGTATTTGTATACTTCAGTGAGCAAGTGTGGTTGGGTTTTTTTGCATTTTCCAGCGCTGCTGTGTAAACTATACCTCTCAATGTTTAGCTTTATCTGTATATGCCTTAAAAACAATGTATTCATTTACTGTTGCTTGATATTGAAGATAAATATAATGTGCTTCCTTCAGACACATTAATGAAGACAAAAGAAAGACGGAGGCGCAAAGGCAGTTCTTCGATGTTGTCTATGAAGTTGATGGATGTCCGGTAAGAAATTGCTCTGAAGCTGCGTACCTGTCCAATGCTGTGTGCTAGTTTGCTCCCTTTGCAGAAGTATGTGAGGTTAAAATGTGCTGGTGCTGGTTTAAACAGATTTCCAGTGTTAAGTTGTAAGCAAGCAGTAATCCAGCCCTTGAACTAAATGCTTAATGAGCTTTTTGCTTCTGTCACTTAGGCCAATCTCTTGTCCTCTCACCGAAGCTTAGTTCAGCGTTTGGAAACGGTTGCGCTTGGTGATGACCTCTGTGACAGGGGAGAGCAGGTCACACTTTTTCTGTTCAATGATTGCCTAGAGGTAAGAAGACTATATAAGTACATCTGAACTGAATTGTAAAAGACTTAACACTACATATGAACATAAACAAGTAAAATATCAAAACTTCAAAGCAAAATTCTAAGGTGTGGCAAGCTGATAGCTCAGCAAATGCTGATGTTGCCCTTCAGTTAGCTGTTTTGTAAGCCAACAGAAGTATCTGGCACTTATGGATGGTCGAGAGATGTGAATGTAGCCTTTAATGTCATGCAGCCAAATCAAAAATATGGAAGCAGCTTAATATGTTAAGAAATACATGTTTATCTGAATAGAGCTTTAAGTAGTACCACTGGATGAAGAAGTGCTGAAGTTCCTGCTCAGCAGGATATTTGTCCTTTTAAAGTTTAGTCATATTTAATGTGAATAAATAGTGGCCCTCTAAGGTAGGTTTGTAGCTTAGGCTACAGAAAGAAAATTCATATATTAAATGCCTAACAGTATATTAGGAAGAACTAACTGAGTTTTGGAGACTTGTGTGGAGAAACTGAGACTGTGAAGGATGCTTTATGAAAATATTTGTAACTGTTTACAGCAGTAAAGAACATGGTCTTCATAGAAGACCAACTCTAAAGTAAAATAATCCAAAATTAGTGCTGTCTTAAGCAGCACTTAGAGACAAAAGCCTCTTGTTGTGACTAGTGGTGAACTCTCCCTGGGAGTGAAGTTGATTCAGCTTCATCACTTCTTGGAAAGGAAAGGAAAAATGAAAACACTTAATAAAGCTTCTTGGCTTCTCTCTCTTGTACGAGATACATGTTTTTAAAGGCAACTAAAACCATTTTATTTGTTTTTAGTTACTCATGTGTTAATGTAAAGTAAAAACTGACTGACCAACCTCCACCACCAACTCACTCGATGGCTGCGTGCACGCAGCCAACAGCAACTGATATTTCTAGGACATAACACACCACAGCCTAAGTTGGTTCGTCCATTTAGATGTCTTTTTTTTTTGTTCAAATCTAGAACACCTTGTGGCAGATTTCAGATAACTCTTGTTTGTTATGCAGGATAGAAGTGAGGTCTGTTATGTAAAATTACTTCCCCTTTTGATTGTTTTGGTTTTTTTTTTTTAGATTTTATTTTTGAGGTGAGTGTATTGATGCTAAATAGCAAGTGTTGCTCAGCCACTTGAGCTGTAGACAGTGAATGGTGAGATAAGTGAGTTCCTTAAAGATTTCTTTGGTAGAGTAAATAAAGTAAAATACCCCTTAGAGTATTCTTCTGTAGCAAGGCCTCTGTGCCTTTCTGTAAACTAGAAGGTAAAAGAATTCAAAGAAACAAAACGGTGGCAATAGAACTTTTAACTTTAACCTCTTTCTATTTAACTGCAGATTGCAAGGAAGCGGCATAAAGTTATTGGTGCTTTCAAGAGCCCTCATGGCCACACAAGGCCTCCTGCATCTCTCAAGCATGTTGTTCTCATGCCTCTTTCCCAGATCAAGAAAGTCCTGGACATCAGAGAGACAGAAGGTCTGTATGTTTTGCAGTCTGTGATGGCTAATGAGAACTGTGGTTCAGAGTATAAAGAATGAAGGTCTGCTGTCGTGGGATAGAGTGTTAGGTATGTGATTTTAGTATAAGGTTCTGAGCTTGAGAATGTCTTAAATTGACACCTGGCTTTTCCAGAATCGGTGCAGGATGCTGAATTTGGCAGAGGTACTAGGCGGCATTAGCATAAGCCAACCAAATGGCAGAGCAAGTTAAACAGAGCAGTACTTTTGACAGCTCTGGATTTACAAAACAAAAACAAACTTCAGTCTAGATCGTTAGACTGCCCAGAGACAAATGCTGTTGCTGTGAAACCAAATCTTCATTTAACTGGTGATGCTGATTCTCAGGAGGAGCTGTGCTTAGCATCTTAAAAGAAGGATTTAGATGACTTAATTTCTGTGGCTGCTTTGCCATACTGAGACTGTAGGAGGTTCACGGAAGTAATGTGTTGCTGCAGCAGCAGAACTTGTTCTGCAATGCTGGCTCAACTTCAGTACTGACGTCCTGAGAAGTCCAGTCAGACTAGTTTCTCGATTTGTGTCATGGAAAGGTGGTTTGATATCGCTGTAGGTGATGGCATGCATGTTGTATTTGTTCTGCTTTACGTTGGCTGAAGCATCTGGATGTAGAAACCAGACAGAGAATAGCAGTGGCGAAGAGGGTAGGTGGTAAATGTGATGCCTCCCTGCTTTCTTAAAAGGTACTTTAGGGATTTTCTTTTAAGAATTCTCTTTGAATTACTGGGCAACACCTAAGTTTACTTTGGGATGTGGCTGATGGGAGCCATTTGTAAGAATGCCATTTGATACTTGCTGAGAACTTTGTGCAAATCTTGGCAGAGAGGACAGCTACACTCTCCTGTATACACTGTTGTTACAGAACTGCTTGTCCAGTGCTGCTTTTCTGAATTGATGAGCTGTGGGGTTTTTTTTCTTAACTGTTTAGTGTGCTTCAGCTGTGTCTGCTGTAAAGGAGTATCAGCAATGCATTAATTTTCTGCTAGCAAGTGAGCAATCTTTGTCAAGTTGAAACAGTAAAACCATTGTAACTTGACTATTTTATGTTATGTGTAGTACTGACGTCTTTGTTGCTTTTTCCTGCTTTATAAAATAGGGTAAATGTTTTCCTTGTTCTCTGTTGATAAAGAAATGATCTGTCCAATATCTAATGAGTCAGAGAATGAAGTGATGTTTACTGCTATATCCAGTAAAGACTGACTAGCCTGTAGACAGTAGTATGCAGATTATTTGGTGAATGAACTGTTGCATGAACAGCTGATTGCAGTCTCCTGATGAAGGATGTAGACAGAACTTGGTGCTCTTGCAAGTGATATATCAGCTAGCACGTAAATCAAGATAAAATCTTTGCACCAAATCATGTCTCTAGCTCCTGGCAGTAAGAAGGTTAACTCTTCTGAAGATTCCCTCCTGAATTATATGAAAAATTATTCTCTGTCTTAACTCCTTGCCTCTTCTTTTATGAACTGCAGATTGCCATAAAGCTTTTGCTTTAGTTGTGCGGCCACCTACAGAACTCAACAACAAGCTACTCAGTTTCCAGATGACCACTGAAGAGCCTCCTAAAGAAGACTGGTTGAAGATGTTGTGTCGGCATGTGGCTAACACTATTTGTAAAGCAGATGCAGTAAGTACCCTGGAACCATGTTGCTGATTTGGAATTATTTCTCTCCTTTTGGCCTGAAGCTAAAGAACTTGTTAATAGTGGACATACTTGAGGTGAAGTAGAGCAGAAAACATTTGTGCTAGCGTGTCTGCGAGCAAGCGGTTAAAAGGTGGAAAAGGGAGCAGCCTGGAAGTTGGCTTCTACCAAAGCTATTAAGTACTTAAAAATCAAGAATCATGCCCTTCCCCTATCAGAAATATTAATTATAAATATTTAAACTCTGCACTGCAGATCTAAACAGAATTTTCTTCTGCTCGCTTCTTTCACAGCTATGTTTCAATTTACAGTCCCAGCATTACAAGTCTTGGCTGAACTATGTGTTAGGTTGAATTCTTTGTTCTGTACCTTACCTGCATGGGCACCAGCATGTAAGAGACATGAAGCACCCTCCCCCTACGGAGAGAAGAAGCCTGCAACCTTAAAACGAGGAAATAAAGAAAACAATGAAATGAGGCACTTGTTTAGAAGTTCTGAAAACTACTAATTTGAAGAGTCGATCCTCTCCAATTAGGGCAAAAGACTTTCAGTTAATGTTTTAATTTTGTAAGAGTGAATGCTATCAGTCATCCAAATTTTTTGGAAGTATGTGCAGTGTATGCAGGCAAAACATTTTATGTTCTGCATTGTACTCTTACTGTACAATACTTGGTTGTCTGTGTTTTTTAAGGATGTGCTTGTTTCAGGAGAGGTAGTGAACTAATCAAAGTAACATCTTAGTTATATTTTGTTTGGCTTGTCATTTAGGGACTTATTCATAAAAATTTGTCCTTGCTTTTCCTTCCTTTTTGGGTACTGAGTAGGAAAAAATACTCATTCAGAAGTGTTAATTTACTTTAATCTGTCTGTTGCCTATCTTCAGACTCTCATGTTATGTATAACACCAAGGCATAGTAAAAGGTTGAAGTTTTTTTGAATTATAAATTAAATCTTTGTGTAATAAACATATCATTCCTTCTCACCCCAGGACATCCAGACTCACATGCTGACAAATTGTAACCTACTATGCTGAATCCCATTAGTTATAATTTCTCTAACTACTACTTTGTACCGACTAGATAATACTTTTTCCTTGCTGATTTAAATGTTAGCCTGAGCGTAAGTTTAAGCACGCTTCCCTTTTCCATGTTTTACAACTGCAACATCAAGGGCGAATGAGATAGTTAACTGGGCCACATGGTGGCAGTAAAGGCTTTAACTACTCTTTTTCTTAAACACTAGGAACTGCCCTAAGGCTTGTTGTCTGGTGTCCTTTTTTCCCCAAACTTTTTTTAAGATGAACTCTTTTCTCAAACTAAAACCCTCAAACAAAAACAACAACAAAACCCCACCCAAACCACAAAAAAGTCCAAGCAAACAAAAAACCCAAACCAGCAACTTCCCACTCCATACCTGCCCCCTCCAAGTCTTCTGAGTAGCCAGCCTGAGATTGCTTTGCACTTGCTAGAGTTTGAGACATAAAAAAACCAAAAAACAACAACCCAAAGAACAAAAATTGTGGTTATTTTGAAACATCTGTTGGGCGTAAGCTGGAAATCTTGGTGTTTGACAGCTGGAGCTATCAAGATTGCAGTTCAGAGGAGTGCTAAACGTGTCAGGGAAATGAAGAGGTTTGTTCCTTGTGAAGCTCCCTGGGTGTACTTCCAAACTGCTGCCTTTACTTTGGTCAACCCTGAACTTGAAACCGAATCAAACCAACCAAATGTAAAACTACTAAAAACTACTGAGGAAGTAATTTCATAAACTGATTGCAGCAGCAGTTAATCTAATGAAATGGCAGGAAAGCAAACAGCTGCTTACTGTATAGTAAAAGTTAAATATGGAGGAATATGTCAATTAAAACCTCTAAATCTGACCTACTGGACTAGGAAATGATATTCTGACAAGTGCTGATGTTTGACCATTGTTAAGACTGTTTTTGTCTGTAGGAAAACCTCATTTATATTGCTGATCCTGAATCGGTTGAAGTAAATACTAAAGATATGGACAGTACCCTCAGCAGAGCATCCAGGGCAATAAAGAAAACATCAAAAAAGGTAAGATACCACAAAGATAGTGCTTTACAGTAAAATTCATTTTAGTCAGGGAATTGTGCTAGTATTCCTGTTCTGGGTGTTTTGTAGTAATGGTGGGGAAAACTTATTCTGAACTAAAACTCTTTAAAGTATAAGCTCCTTAAAAAAAGAAGGTGGGGAGGGTTTGAGGTTTTGACTGAGTAGTTTTGGAGTAGCTGTATGTGTTCTTAATTATTACAGTCATAAGTATTATGTAGTCATTTCTGAGTCTGTTGTGGAACTTTGTTTAATATTTTGCATTTTTAAAAATTTTACAAAAAAACCCCAACAACCAACGAAACCCAGCCCTCAGCTGTAACTGTTTTTAGCATATTGAATGGAATTTTAAAGCTGTAGGCAATTATCTAACTTCAGGTACCTTTAAAAGCAAAACAGGTGTAGAGTATGTGCTGGGTTTGGTTCTGCTAAAGTTTATGGTGTGTGAGAAGGGGTGACAGGGAGCGATGCCTCAAGGAGAGCTCTGTTCCCCAGTCTTAGCACCCCTGCAGCAGATTTCCTATATGCAAGATGATAATACTGTTTCTTAGAAAAAACTGTAGAGGCTGCTGTAGTTTGGAAACTGCTGAAGACTAAATTGAGAGTAATCTTCCAGGGGTGGAGGCCTGACTTTGTGGAAATGGGGGGATGTGGGGAAGGCGGATTGACTAGACCTTGTTTTGACATCTCCCTGAGTATCTGCTGCCCCCCTCATCTTGATATTTGGACGGAGTGAGAAGAGCAGGGATGATGGGGAGCCTTAGAAGTCAGATCACCTCGTGAGTAGGTGTGTTTGGCTCGTTTCAATCTGGCCATATTGACATTTGATACGTGTCCTACGGATGTGAAAAATTGGACAGGTAGCCTGTATTGTGGTAGCTGTTACAGCCTGATTTTTGTCAGTGTGTAATTGCTTGTCAAACTCCTCAGGTTACAAGAGCATTTTCCTTCTCAAAAACGCCAAAGAGAGCTCTTCGAAGGGCTTTAATGTCACATAGTGCAACGGAGGGAAAAAGTCCCAGCTCAGCTAACGAGAGCTATCTAGGCAGCAGACTGACTAGTACGTCATCGTTAGCGGTAAGTGGTTTGGCTGTGTAGGCCAAGTAAGTAACCTTCTTAGGATGGCAGTGATTTGAGTGTCTGGTGGTGATCTTTCTTTAACAACGCCAAGATCCACAGTGGAGAAAATTATTTTTCACTACATTCATAATGTCCTATTTTCTAAGCAAGTGTTTAACGAGAAGGTTTACTTGTGGAAAATGCAGAAGAAAACCTACTGTTGTAGGTACTAGAAACTGGGAGTGGCCTTGTACAGTTAAACTGGAAAAAAAACCCCCTCTTTTGCCAGAAATAGGTTCTGTATCTTCTCCTACATTAGGTCAAACTCGATTTCCTAGTACAGTCTAATGAAGATGACTAGATTTGGAGCATTTTTTTTTTTTCATTCATCTTTGCTTTTATTCTAATGTGTGAGTAAATGTGTGTTGAGTAAACACCTACTTTAAAGTTTGTAGTTTGTAGGACAAAAGGCCAAGAACAGGTTTTCCCATGTACCTTTCTACTACTGTCTAGAATGTCAATATGTTAATGGCCACTCAAACATACTGAATTATCTCTGTATTAAATTGTACAACATAAAGGTATCGCCCTGCTCTCCCACATGAGATAGGCACAAGAAAATTATGAATTAATGAGGGAGTATCACAGTGGACCCCTTTTGTTTCAGAGGGGAAAAAAGAATAATCTACCAGTGTGTCTTTACTTCAGTTCTCAGATTTTCCTCCTTCAGTTATGGTTGCTCCAACAATCGTTTTTGAATTCTAGTATTCTGTCTTTGATACAACACTACCTTGTTTCTCATGAAAACGCAAGTTGTGCTTTTCTGTGAGTGGCTGTGCAATACAAAAATACTTTTTTCCACAAAATGATAGGAACTTATAGTAGTGAAAACTATTTTTCTATTTCAAATTTGTCCCAGAGTTCTTGGATCTCCGAGGTAGTAAGCTGTAACTTGACAGCATATCATATGTTGTCTATGATGTTGTGTGGGTTTTTTAACCAATCTCACACACTACTGAACTTGCATAAAGCCTTTTTGGTTGAATCATAAGGTTTGAGGGGGGAAAAGGGAAGTTAAAGTTTGGATGTATGGGCTTTTTTTCATGTTTGGACTAACTGTTGAAATACTTCCTAATTATAGATTGCTCGTTCATCATCTTCATGTTACCTAAGTGGATCTGTCAAATGTGCTGTTAATGTTCATCGCTCCAATTCTGTTGGTTGGAGCTCTCAGAATTCCAGGCCTCGACCTGTGCTGTGTCCTGGCTCTTCAAACATTCATCTTTTAAATGCTGTAGAAGAAAAAACCTCTTCCAACTTGGAAAGCTTAAGTGATCATGGCTTGGACAGATCACATCCTATCCCTATTATTGCTATCACTTGTGATGATGCTGGAGATAAGAGCCAGTGTGGTGCTGAAAGATTCTCTACATCAAATCCTGACTGTTAATGCCCATCTTGCATGAAGTGAGCAAAAAAAGAAAAATAAATCTTGATTTCTCTAAACTAAGACAGCACAGTACACCTATACGGAACTGTAGAATCCACAAAGTGCTTTAAATGGTGTTGGGTTTTACTTTGGCTTGTTTTAATGGATGAGGTTGGAGTCAACACTTGTGGTTTACTTTTATTTCTGGTTCTGGGTGCAAAGTTAATTCTTTCACAAATCCTTTTGACTTGAATTTTTCTGTGTGGTTTTCAATTCATTTCTATACAATTTAATTACTTCATGTCTCAGTTCAGTCTTCCACATGGCAATGTAGCTTACTGGCCAGAGTTCTGAAGACTTTAATAACTTGGTTGTTTATCTGTAGATAAAAAAAATACCCTGCATAAAGTACTCAAGAGACTAATAAGAGCTGCTATGTAAAGAGGCGTTTAGAAATTAATTTCAAATATTGCCTATGCCTGCAAATTGAAGATGTGCTGTAAACAGGCATTAGACTTCATAGCTCAAAATATCCCTATTTTAAAGATTTTTTGGAAGCATGCAGGTGCAGCAAGCTGCTGAACTGCCATGACCTGTTTCTGTGCTGAAGAGCTTGTCTGTGCTATGAAGAGCAACGGAAGTTTGCCTATGAAAGTATCTTGAGGAGTGGTGTAAAAAGAGTATAAAACCTCAGCAGATCCAAAGAGGTTAACTTCTAGCACTAGGTATTGGTGTGTTGGTTTCACTGTAATTTCACATCTCGGAAGCAGCCTATGCTCCTACCACCAGAAAAGTCAACTTTTTGCCTAGTTTGTGCCTGTCTAGGCTCAGCTAAAGCAAATCTTAGCAAATTGTTGTGATGTCTGTTGCCTTCTGTAGCCAAGAAGGCCCGTGTTCAGTATCTGATTCGGGGCTCAAAGCTGGTAAGAATACAGAAAGTTGTAGAATCTGCAGGGAGGATTATTGTAATGTATCTTGCCTCCAATTTAGAGGGAGATTATTATTGCAAAAAGCGATGCAAGGTATATGCTAATACTTGGCTAACAGCTCTTCTTCAAAAACATGGTCTTGCATTCTGAAGCTCAAGGCTGGTAACAAGGGAGAATCTTTTCCACATTTTAAAAAATGTGCTCTACTTGTTTGGTGCTGTTTCAACTTCTGGTCAAGATCTAAAAATGCTGAATCCTCAATTTCAAAACCTGCGAATCTTAAGTATCTTCTCTACTGTTACCATCCTTCTATTACGTATCAAGGTAGAGAAATGACTACTGTGCTATTGACATTGGCCAAAAAATGCCCAAATAATGTTTCTTTTTTTTTTTTCTTCCCCAACAGGGTGTTCCTTCTCCTTCCTTGGTCAGTCTTCCCTCCTTCTTTGAAAAAAGGAGTCGCACGTTAAGTCGATCGACAACCCACTTGATATGAAGCAGGCTTAAAATACAATGTTGTATTGTAGTGACTGACGAGCAGAGGGCTGTTCAAATGACCTGTTACTGACATTACTGGTACCTTAGTCATTAGCACTTAGCCATGATTAGCAAAATGTTAGATAACACTAAGTTAATCACAGGGATTTTTAGCTGTATTGAAGCAGATTAGCTAATCAGTGGAATAAGTAACTTGGTCCTCATTTACGACACAGCATTCCCTTGCACAGATTTATCTGCTCACCAACATAATGGAGGCGTTTTCTTGTGTGGAAATTGTCCCCTCTAGGCAATGAACTGATTTGTCAGACTTTGAAATGAAGATGTTCACGTGACTTACTGCTATTTTGGATGACTTATGCCCGCCTAACTTCATCGACTGGTGGAGCACCGTCATGCTGGAATTGTTGACTTTTTAAATGGAGTTGTGTTATGAAGTACCTGACCTTTCAAGTATGACAGTTAACCTGTTGTACAGCTGCTTATTCCGGATACTTTATAAAGGGAGCTGTTTATAAAGCAATAGAACTGAGTTTCTGTGATTATGGTCTTTTGCAGCCTCACGGTAACACAGCGTTACATGATGTGGGCTTATCTGAACAGTAAGTTTAAAGGCTATTACTAGTTTTGACCACCCAAAATGATCAGTCAAATTCTTTTTGAACTTCTTTGGAGTGGAGGTCTGAAGAAAATAATCCCACTCCCTCTTGGCCGTGCTGTTAAACAACCCCCCAAAACGCCCACACCTTCCACATGCTTGGTTAACGGATAAGTATTTAATACACGGGATTATTGGTGTGACATCGTAACCTGAGGGCCCAATTTTGGCGTGTCAGATTTCAGGTGTAGTACTCCTAAGGCTTTTACCTGGCTTTCTCATGTGTTTGTGTCTTCCTTCAAAACTGTATGTTCACTTCTTTCGTATTTGAACAGTTAGTATGATGCAATGCTTTCTCAGGAACTACCTAAATATGTATATTTCTGCATTTCATTAGCAGTTTAGCTGTCTGTCTGTATTAGCAGGAGTTCTCAACTTCTGCTTCTTTTTAACTACCCTTGTCTATGTCTATGTGACTAGTGCTGCTTTGGAGTGTGTCAGACTTAACTGGGTTTTATATGTCTTTTTTTGCCAATCCAAGTGCTGTAAATAAACTGTTTAAAATAACACTGCTTATGGCTTTGCTAAACAGGCTTTTATGAGAGTCTACTTTGTCTTTTCACATTAGAAGTGGTGTGCTGGCCTCCAGCCTACAACTGCACTCTGATTAGCTTATAGCTATTCCTAATAAAGTATACAGCTTGTTAGGCATGAAGCTGCCAGAACCAAGTTGTTTGTTTTTTTTTTTCTCCCTGTAATCCATTCACCTTTCTTCCCTCTTCCCCTGGATATATGTGTCCATGGGTATGGGTTTTTTTTCCCCCTTATCCATTCAAAATAAACATCTGACATAAATATGCACTGACACTTACATAATAAACTATTCAATAAATACTATACTCAGAAATCACAATGAGTCTGTTTGTTTGTGGGGGTTTTTTTGTTATCTTTGGAAGAGCATCTTCAACCGGCTAAACTCCATGTAAACTTACGATATGAGCCTCTCCTTCTTCTGGTTCTCTTTAATTTCTGAATTATTTGTGTTTAACTTCTCTCTCAAGCTCACCTGCACTCAAAACCAGTTGAACTTCTGCTTACTCTATTGCTTAATCTTTTTACTATGGCTCTGGCACATAGTGAATCTTGCTGAATCAATGGAAAATGGTTGTTCAGAGAGCCGAGTCCTATGCTCTTTAATTGTTGCATAGAACTTTCTAATGGAGGAGTTAGTTCTCAGTCTTAACTCTTAAAAAAAAATGAGGAAGACTAGGCCTGCCTCCCGTGTAACTTTACCCCCTGCTGCCACCTGGATGCATTATTACCTTAACCCGTTATATCACATTTCAGCATGAGCTGCCCCTACTTCTATAAAAAAATTAAATAGGTGTGTTGTTAAAGAAAATATTTTAAGAGAAAAATGGCTGTTTAGTCTCCTTGTAATTAAAGGCGATGGTTTAAAATGGGCAATATATTCATTATCTATTTATCTTTTAGCACTCTGTGCAGCGGCGGTTAATGGAAGGCATGCTTAGTCCCAAACCTGTGCAAAGAGGTGCTGCTGCTCTGTATCCTAGGGCTGCTCTGGAGCCCTTAACTGCTTTTTGGATATTGACTGCTGGAGGACCAGAAGATTTTCAGTGAGGTAGAGGGAAGTGAAAGCAGTGAAATTCTGGGTTAAAATAACAAGGTAATAATAGGTAATAATGAACATGTTTGCTGATTTGACAGCTTGTTCTGAATATAATTGCCTAGAACTGTACAACAAGTCTTTTGAATACTGGAGAAAATAAGAGGAATTTTTAGTAAGACATTGTCTTGCATGACACTATTGTAAGTTTAGTAGTAGAAGGGAAGTTACTACTGCCCGAACACAAAACTGGCTTGGTCTCTACCCACTGGGCAGCAAATCTTGTAAGTATCTGCTGTGATCGTGTCGAGTGGGGCTCCGTGAGGGTCAGCTCAGCATTTCTGTTGACCAGGGTGGTAATGGAGTGGGAGAGTGTGCTTAGTGGGTTTACAGCTGTCACACAGCAGCAAGAACAACAGGATCAGAGGTGGAAGTGAGCTTGTGAAGTTAGGTGCTCCGGAGTAAAGAAAAAAGCAAAAATAAAGTTTTACAAATGAGAGGTTCCCCCCGCCCCATTCTCCATTTCTTGTACTACATTTACATGTTCTGGTTTCCCCAAACTACAGTTCTAAACAATAATACTTCTACCATCTATCTGCTATGGGAAGTGACTTGCTGAGTAACAGTAGTCAGCTGGATTTGTACAATACCTAGCTTCAACCATGATACAGACATTTCAAATATCATGAATAATTTTTGAAACATCAAGTTAGAAAGTTTAGTTGAATAAAGTGTAATTTCTTAAGTCTTTATGCTGAGATTGCTCTGTCAGCAAAACTATAGGATCTGTTCTGCAGCTCTTTAGGAAAAAAAAATTGCGATAAAAAGGTCATTTCCTTTGAAGCTCTCATTCACTTCCCTCTGTGCTAAAGAGTTAGCCAGCACAGGTTCAACCTATGGAAGAGTTGTTTCCATTCAGAAAGACAAACTCTCTGAAGGTCAAAAGCTGGTCTTTGTTTAAAACATGACGTTTTCTTCTTATAGGCTGTTCAATGAACTCGTGCTTGTTGCTACAAGAATCCTTACTCTTAACCAGCGTTCTAAAATTGTGCCTCTTAAAGAACAGCTACCAAAGGAAAGGGTCTTCTGTTGGGTGGGGATGTCTCACTTTTCTCATCCAAGCTTTCATGCAGGGTGTTGTCTCTAGCAGCACACTTGCCCACTTCCCCTGGTAGCGTGTGCACCTCGAAGTTCTGGGGAGCAGCACTCCAAGAAGACAATCCCTTTGAGAAGAATGCTATATGTCCCTTGCAATGGAAGTTAAGTTTGCCCTTCAGCATTTTGAGAAAACGATGAATTATGTTACCAACCTATCTTTGTCACTACCTGCAGTATAGAATAGTGCTTGGGGGTTTATACTACAAGCGAT